TACCTAATTTTTTTACCAAACACTTCTGGGGCAAGAGGCTACGGTAGTGGATAAAATTTCCAGAAAGCACTTTAGTGTTGTAATTCCCTCTACGATGGCTTCATGTCGGTATTCATCTATTAGTAACGTTACGACTTGGCCATTCATTCGAGAGTTTAATTATTGATTATTCATTATAGCATCTGTTAGCCAATGTGCATGGCCTCTATTAACGATATCACATTCAGAAATCCAATAACAAAAGAAGTCATTACACGTTACACTACTGATATCAAGAATGCCGACGTCTTCTATACGGATTCCAATGGGCGTCAGATGATGAGACGACAGTAAGTCTATCTTGTGTTGTTCGTTGGGGGGGGGAGGCGAAAAGACGCTTTGGTCATGGTATGCTCATCAAAGCTCAGGATCACAGGGTGACAAGGTACGTGAAATGCCCAGAAATAAAGACAAGATACAAGATTAGAATTTGGAAGACAGTGGTATACAGTACCCCAAGATTACGCGTGAAATTATATGTGTCGCTCCCGTGAACGCTCACATTTGGGCATAGAGTAAGCCGGTCTAATTATTCAATTTACTGGTCACCCACGGAGCAACGCTAGTTGCTCCATAGTCAAGCATACGCCGCGGAATCCGCGACGGGGGTGTCGTATCGCCCAATCCCCCCCTCTGGAGAGATTCCTTTTTGCAAAGATCAGTACTGAGCACAGCAGCGACGTCAGTTGCAGTGCAGTTCATGAGTTGCAGTTCATTACATGAGGAGAAAGTGTACGGAAGTCCTATAGAGTTTTCTACATGGAAATATGGGCTCTGTAGGGCGGAGATCCTCATGCTGTACCTCAAACTGACTTTAAGGCGAAATCTGCGACGGCCGAATTCCCGTTATAGTTAATCTACAGCAAAAAGGTTGCGCTTATAAGAAAGAGAAAATCTCCTAGTTCTCGAAGCCGCGTAGATCTCCATTTTAATTTATATCTGAACGAGTGATATCCATTGGAATAAAAAAAACTCGCATCCGCCGGCCGCCATGCAAGCTAGGTAGAGGCTGTAATGTGTTTCATATAGAGCCTGCCTACACAACATGAATAGTTCTTACCGCTTTGCGAAAGATGTTCTCCGAATGATCTGATACCCTCTTAAAAATACCGAAGTCTCGGGTTCGAGTTCTTCCGTTTGGAGGGCCTTATTGTGAGGCTTCTACGAAGTTTCACTTTGTGCATTACACTACTTTTGAAGGCAGTTGGCACGATATCCCAAGACGAGTAGGATTAATACGCCTGGCAGGACGGAATTCCGCGACCCTGAGCAGGCGCTGCATAATGCCTTTTCCAAGGAAGGTGCCCTTATAAGGGCCCTATCAAGCCACAACATACCGACCCAAACGCCCGCCCGCCCACAAATGGAACTTTTTACTCATTAAGGAACGAAGGCTTTTCTTCGCAGGTTTTTGACCGTTTCACTTCGTTTTTTCGCCATTTTCCCCACTATAGCGCCCTGCTAGCATTTCAGGCCGAGTACCAAATTATCGTGCCAGATGTCTTTAAAAGACCAATCTCTCCAATTTTCAGTTCTTTTGTTTTGTTCAGTTGGTCTGATAAATGATCCTAGATACCCTATTCGGTAAAAGTCGCAAAAGTTCACAACGTGAACAAACTGTATCCTGATAAAACGAGCAGATACCCCCACCCCTCCCATATACTCCACAGTCACTAGGGGGGAGGGGAGGTCGTCAGGTCACACCTTTTTAGGGGGGAGGGTCGCATCGACCCTGTCAAATATCCGCAACGTGAGCTTGACCCTGTATTGCTCTCTGCACTTGCAGCGAGATGCTGCCTGAGCGTGAACTGAGGGTACTGTGTCGCGGTAAAGTGAGGGCTAGTTTGTGGTCCAACGCACTTAAAGGCACTTCTCGCGACCGCACATAGTGGATAATAGAGTTCAAAAACAGCATTGTGCTAGTTGCCTTAGTAGTGAAGAAAAAGTATGAAAAACCGCCCCAATATGACCCTCCTCCTTGCACTTGATCATGATCATCGGACGAGAGTAGGATGGTCAAGATCAACAGTGATATGCAGAAGGTGACGATACACTGCAAAGCGCGGAGAGAGACCAGAAAATGACGGGCGAGAGAGCACAACGGCATTAGTACGACGACACGGGCAAGGTAGGCCGGCATGGGCCTCCTTGGGCCTAAAATCGAAGTTTACTGTGCTTTGCGTGCCATTTTGCAAGTTTTGAATGCAGAGCGACCTCTACAATTGCCTCCCGGATCGATCATGACGCATTTATGAGGTTATAGCCTTAGTTCAGTGAAGAAAGTGCCTTTAATTTACGCGCTGTTTCCGATGCAATATCCCTTCGGTTTTTAATAGACTATAACGGTGAGTTAGCTGCGTTTATACTTTGCGGCAGCGTAGCGTAGCGTAGCGCAGCGTAGCGTAGCGCTTCCAGCGTACGCCAGCGGCAGTGCCGAAGAGAGGATGCATATCGATCTAGCTTCACCAGCGTCACCACGCACGCGGCGTAGCGAGGGCACGAAGCATAGCTATCGATCTAGCTTCACCAGCGTTTCTCGAGCGTTTCTCCAGCGGCACCAGCGTTTTGCTAGCGCTTGCAGCGGCAGGGAGTAGAGACTATGTGGCCGTGAACGCGGAAAACGACGTTATTGAGAGACGTATGGGCCTCGGAGACGCAGAAGCAATGTGCATTGTATAGACCAGTCCGTCGGAACGCAGAACGATGTTGCATTGGAGACACTTACTTACTTACTTACTTATCCCTTAGCTTGCGTCTGGTGGTGGGGGCCGGCCTCTCAACCAGTACACTGCTGTGGGTGCCATTGGAGTACGAACGCCCTGAATGAAGTGTCTCCATTCTGGTCGATTAGCAGCAATACGTCTAGCATGCTCAACACTGCACCTCAGAGCCCTAAGGTCTTCCTCAACTTGCTTCAACCAAGTCTTTTGAGCCGTCCTCTGAACTTTCCACTGCGGCAGGCGTTTTTCTCCACAGGAGCATTTAGGTATTCTGTCGTGACCCATCCTGCACAGATGACCGAACCATCGTAGCCGTCGCAGTTTCAATTGTTCCTCGATTGTGGGTTGATCTTCAAACTTCTCCCTGATGGCGTTGTTCGTGACATGGTCACGAAGCCTGATCCCGAGCATATGGCGGAGACAACGCATTTGAAACACCTCGAGATGAGAGAGATCCGACTTGAGCAACGTCCATGTCTCAGACCCATATATTGTAGCGTGAAGCACAGCGTCTCGCATGAGAGACTAAGGGCGAGTGAGAGACGCGCAATCGATGTTTGTACCTCCAGCTCTCCCATAGTCTCTACTCCCCTGCCGCTGCAAACGCTAGCAAAACGCTGGTGAAACGCTGGAGAAACGCTGGTGACGCTGGTGAAGCTAGATCGTATGATTCTGTCTTCAGCAATGTCCGGGCGTACGCTGAAGCGGCTACGCTACGCTGCTGCAAAGTATAACTCTAGGGCTGAAACTGCTCAACTACTAAAGACAGGAAGGTTTGCATGATCCATTGTGATGAGCTCCGCTGTTATACACACACCCCCCCCCCAACCCCACCACCAAAAACCACATATGACGCATTTTCGCAAACCTGCTTCAAAATCTTGACGATGCTTTTCGCGACGAAATACGATATGTTTGTCCGCTCGCGTTATCTACATATTTGTAGCACGGAAGCGCAATATATCAAAGGTATTATGCAGCGATTAAGCTTGGTACTGCGTCTAAATCGAAGTGTCTTCAAGTGAAAAATGGCGAAGAAAGCGAAGTGAAACGTCAAAAACTGCGAAAAAAGCCTTTCGTCTTTGATGACCCAATAAATTTCCGGCAAGTTCCCGTTAAGGCATCGATGCAATAACTACTACGGTACGTAAGCCGCAGATGTACTCATTATCAGCAGTCACGGCGGCCACTTCATATCAATCCTCTTCGCTCATCGTTTTTACTTAGGCAAATAACATACGAGCACAGGCGCGGTCGTCCATTTGTGGGCGGGCGGGCGCGGTGGGCATCCTGGTCGGTATGTTGAGCTTGTTAGGCCCTTATAAGGGTACCTTCCATGGGAAAAGCGCCTGCTCAGAGGAGCGGAAAACCGTCCTGCCAGGCCTTTAATCCATATCGTCTTAGAAGATTTATCGGGCACCTGCTTCAAGTTGATCACACATGGCGCGCAAGCCAAAGAAGGACGCTTGTCTTCATAGTGTGAAAGTGAGATCTACATCTCTTGCTAACTAGAGGGAAATGTCAAGCGAGACCATGTGAGGGCGGTTTGCCCGACATGCCTTAAACAGATTGCAAAGGGGCTTCAAGTGTGGCCAAGCAGGTGCGAGTACAATGTGAACCTGCAAGGACAAACTCTCGCATTGTACACGACGAAATGCTGGGGATGATGCAGAAACGTGAGAGATGGCTTTTTTTTCTAGACGAGTTCAGGCCGGGTAGCTTCAAGTACTACTAGTGCGGCGAAACCACGCCATAGCCTCTAGAGTGCTGATTAGAAACCAATCCTAAAGTAACTCGAGACTTTTGAAGCAGCGCAATTCTTGTCACTCACTTGGAACGAAGAGGTTTGTGAGGTGTGTGACGGCCTGGAAACGACCAAGGCTTAGCGAGACAAGGTTGTGAGAAACTATTGCAACTCCGTTCGATAAAGAAGTTTCCCACAACATCTACGTTTCGAGTTTTCGGAGCACTGCGCCGTTTTCCATGGTTGATCGCTCGCACTCAACACTGCTGAAACTGTCGCCCCATGCTACAGTCGTCAGCTTAGCTCTCTTCGGCAACGTTACTAGGGTTAGCAGAATTGACCCTACAGATCAAGTTGTCCGTCGAGATCCCATGCGTCTCCTCTTAAAGGATTCTGAAAATGTAAGGCTGGAGACTTGTGCTCAATGTGGATGCCCAAAGACGCCTCAGGTTCATAGGGTTTTTTTTTGGGGGGGGGGTACTCATCAAGAGCGGAGTGCCCTTTTTGCCCTTCCCCCAATATGACGTCATCTCATAACGAGGAGAAAAATGGTTGTTCATATGGCTATCATTTGTTTTTTTACAGGAAGAATTTCAACCCATCATTCAAATATGTGGACTCGGAACCAGTTTCTGGTAATTATTATCCAGTAACTAATAGGGTATTCATAAAAGTGAGTGACGGAAATTACTCTTTGAATAAAAACGTTCGATAAGGTCGATTGATTGATGTTTTGTTTTTTTAGGATGACAAGCTACAATTGACTGTGTTGACGGATCGAGCTGAAGGTGCAACTGTTCTAGATGGAGGACTGGAAGTTATGGTGTGTAGAAAGATGAAAAAGGAGGTTTTCGCTTGAGATGAAGGCACTGTTTCGCTTGGGGGGGGGACATTTTGCACATTCGCTACTTCCCATTGTCATGCGGAGCCATCATATAAGAACTGTGAAATCTTCTGAAGCTACATATAAGTGATACTAGTAATAGTTCGCAGAGGCCATTTTCAAACTTTGTAAGGAAAACCTGCCAACAATTGTAATGCAATGAATACCACAATGGGAAGTAGCAAAAGGGCAAAATGCTCCCCCCCCCCCCTGCACCCGAAAGCGAACTGCCCCAGATGACTCCAGCTAGTTAGCTTGAAACGTCCAAGATTGTTACGGCTTACAGGCAACGTTTGACTATTCGCCTTCGTCAAACCTGAAAGAGTTCGAAAGCCTCCTTTCTTGTTGCACAGTGGCCCGGTCTAAGATTATCACGCTTTTGCGCCTACACAATAAGTAACGGAGGCGCTCTCACCCTCATAAGTGGCAGTTATGACGCCTTCTTAGTTTTCCCGCCCACCAAAACTCGAAGAGTGTTTTCTGTCACGGGTTCAGTTTTTACACCGATTTTTGTTTTTTTTTTCCTTTCCCCTACTGTTATATGGAATAAATGGGTCAGTTAGATGGGACTTTCAATGGCGCGAAGGAACGATTAGTGAGCAGGATATTGCTTTTCTGGCATTGAACCAGGAGGTCCGGAAAACTCGTTCAAAGAGGCTACCAGATCCTCACTTATAGTGTTCTACATGATTTTTTTTTCACTGCTTTGTCCTTTCTTCAGGGGTCACTTAGCGGATTATAGGATTTTGAAATGTACGCCACTATTCATTGTGGGCAATCGCGGAGTTTTCTTCAACAAAACTGGAGAATATTTTGAGATAGTGGTAAATCACCCATTGGTATCGATCGGTAAAGATGACTCGGCCTACCTCAATTTCCGCCGCGGTAGCGCGAGATCGACCACCCAGGCTGAGTGAGACCATCCCCTCAATCTCTCGACCTAATGTGGATCAAAATCCACAAAGGTCAGAAAAAGGCACGAGTTCACGAGTTTACTGATGATGGCCATACACTCCTCTTCCTGTTCGCCTTACGAAAGGATAAAGTCTCCGCCTTTGGTCAATCCCTATTTGAGGATGCGACACGCGCTTCTACTTCCATTCAGAATCGTAGTGGCTTATTGAATGCGATGTGGCCTATACAATGACTTGCGGGGGCCAGCCGATGTACAAGTCAGTGACTTGCGGTGGCCAGCCGATGTACAAGTCAGTGTTTTATCCTCCCAGACGAATCTGGTACCAATTTACCGTCCCAGGGGGTAGAAGGCTTGGTTGGCTGGGCGAGAGCCGGTTCAGGGTTTGACTCCCATACGGCGCGCATAGTAAGCATGCCACTTGCCACTACCTCCTCCTCGTTGGCCGAATAATTCCCTAAATCTTGGGCATCTCAAGCTAACTACTCAATTGAAGGCATTACCATGCCAAAATTAGAAGAAAGTCACTCCTGGCTTTTTTTCGCTTCCTTTTAATTTTTCCGTCATTTCCAGTTACATCGACGTTGTTTCGTTGACGATCATTGGGGAGTTGATGAGGCACTTGATGAGCCGGGTAACGGCAATGGTCTCGTTGCTCGTGGAACTCATTACGTACTACTTGGCGACACGAAGGTCGAGTTTATTGCTGCTCTGACCAATGGTCATTTTCAAGTATCGCTCAGTTGAAAATGACTTTTTATCCAGGCGTTCAGCTTACTAATAGAATAGTCGAGTAATTCGTATCAAAACTGGAATGAGCCTATATAATTCAAACACTTGAAACGTGGCGTTATCTCTTTCAGCTGAAAAAAACTCGATAATGAGCGCTGAGGGGTTAAAGCCGGTTCCTGGTAGGTAATTAGAATGGATAGCGCGCTCCCCTGATAATCACTGGGTCTGGGTTCGGGTCCCACCTGCTGTCTGATTTTTGCCCATAACTCACTATTCTTGTGATGATATTCTTATGATCATACGATATTGATGAATTCTTGATCACGTCCTCTAACAGCAGTTATCATCTTAAAAAATAAAAAATATATAGATAAATAAAATAAATAAAATATATAGAAAAACAAATAGAAATCATCTTGAAATACTGAGGAAACTGAAAATTGTTTGACCTGCTCAATCAATACTCATCCGAATTCGGGTTCTTTGGATCGCGGACACATGACGCGTCGGAATTCTTTCGGCCGCGCAGGAGGGGATCATCTTCGGTGTGATTTGACTATTACCTGCGTCTGGTATTCAACTTGGCGATTTCATTATTTTCTGATAGTAGATGGTAAGGATGCCCTTCCCTTCCTCCCTCCCCCCCCTACCCTCGACGGAATTCGAACACTTTTTGGGTGGGGGAGGGGTGGGAGGCGCGAGGATTTTGGAAAATATTTCTTGAGTAGCCCTTTGGGATTGCCGCTTTTGGGATCCCATCAAACTTGGAGCATTTTTTGAAGTAAAAAGCCAAGAATCATCACCCTACAACATGCAACACTGAAAAAATCAGTAGCTTGATTTTATCACAAGAATGCTGAGTTGTGGGCAAAAGTCGTGCCCCAGGCGGGAGTCGAACCCGCACCTCACGCTTTCCGGGCGAGTGCGCTATCCGTTACGCCACCAGGGCCGCTTTTACCCTCTCAGCTTAACGGCTTTTATGCCGTAGCCTTACAGCACTCACACGTTTAACTTGGTCAGCCGTAATCGTTAGATATCGGCAATGAACCGCTAGGCCGAAGGCTTTACAAGTTTTTGAAGCTGTTTTGTTATGATAACTGAGAGGGTAAAAGCGGCCCTGGTGGCGTAACGGATAGCGCACTCGCCCGGAAAGCGTGAGGTGCGGGTTCGACTCCCGCCTGGGGCACGACTTTTGCCCATAACTCAGCATTCTTGTGATAACATTCGGAACGCGAACTGCGGCGTAAAACAGCAGTTACATAGTTACAACACCGTAACGTTACAACGTAGTCACAACAGTAGTCACACGTAACATCCTACCGAAGGATATTGTCCTACCAACTTGGAAAGCAGGACGGGAGGGGATGGCCAGTTCACAAGGACACAGGCGAACAAACTCGCCAGCTTGACTTATTATTACTCTTGAGCATTTAGTATGACTTATTTTAGCTAGGAAGGTTTTAATTTTTTGCACAACTTTTCTTTTACTACGAGTAGCAGGTAGCCGTCCGAGTGATCCTGTATCATACTTGACCCTGGTTTTTGGCTTCAGCGTAGAAAATGGGAGTCATATCCGTGCTCAGGACCTTTATTTCCTCTATGTGCCTTTCATAACGATCTTCGCAGTAGTGGCAAATGTTGAGCAGAAAATTGATATTCCTAGGTACACGACTCAGACAGCTATTTTGGATGAGATCCCCGTTGGCATCGTGCCAGTAACTGCTACGGTAGGTACGAATGCATGTATATGCTCATATATCCATGCAGCACCACAGCTGCTTCATATCAATCCCTTCGCTTCATATTTTACTTCGCAAATGAAGCGATACGAGCATCAGGTACGGTCGTCCATTTGTGGGCGGGCGGGCGCGGTAGGCGTCCGGGTTGGTATGTTGCAGCTTTATAGGGCGCTATAGGGACCTTCCCTGGAAAAGGCGAAGCTGCGTTAGCCAGAGGCGCCAAATTTGCTCCTGCTAGGCAAGTGGAAGAAAAAATTATGTAAAGGATAGCGCTCAATACAAAAACCATTCAGGAAATTTCAAAAGAATGGAAACAAGTACTAGTAAATCAAAGGGACGAGATTGATCGGAAGAAATTGGAACTTGGAGGTTGTTGTTGAATGATAAACACTTTTCTGCTACAAAAGTCAAAAATGAATTAGTGAAGTAAAAAATGTTCAACAAGGTCTGAAGTTTAATACAAAAAACGTGTAAAAAAACAAAAAATGGGCGCAGTTTGGCTACGAGGGGGGTGGGGCATAGTGCATTTTCACCTCTGCACTAGTTCCGGTTTACAAGTCTCACTCTGGTGAAACCTGTGAACTCTTGTGAAGCTGGAGCAAGCTCGTCAAGCCATCATGGTAAAACCTGTCAACTCAAGAAGGCTGTCTAGATGGGTCGACACGTCGATGGGAAGTAGCGAAAGTGCAAAATGCCCCCTCCCTCCCCCTCCGCCGCCAAACTGCTTGTCAATACTAAAAGAAACAAAAAAAGCTCAATAAATCATTATCAAGCTGTGTGAATTTCAGACGGCAGCATCTATTCATCGTCCATTAGCGGTCGACATCTTCCACAGTCCTCAGCTAACATTTGCCCCGTTGAAAAATGCCACTG